AGGAAGAAAAGAGCCTCGAAATTCAACGATTTCTGGAACGCAAATTGTTAAGGTGTTTGTTGCGAGACGTGCCATTTCAGAAGAACTGAAGAGAGCGCGTGCACAGCTGTGATTGGCGGTCAAAGTGTCACACTCTCCGTAAATGTCTGTTTCAATGTGAGGCTTCATTGGCACGGAACGAAATTTTAGCCAATGCTATTTTTAGAGTCTGTGCGCATGACGTTGGCTTTGTTTGCTTCTCGCAGCAACGCACATGTGCGTGCTAGGTTGTGATATTTTAATGACATGCTTATATCTGTGCTTATACGTAACTCCAATGCTGATCGCAAGTTTCCTTTAAATTGACGTTTAAGACCTCAGTGAATTTTGATTTTAGCCTACGTGCCAGCCGTGGCGCAATTATTAAATCTGAGAAATCAGTATTCGTATATTGGTATTCTTATTTACACCTGGAGTTAGTCGCCACAGAAGGCATCAAGTAAGTCAAGTATCCGCATCCAGGCGGTTGAATTTGAGAGCTGTTCGCACATCTCGCTTTCGCAGCTCTGACTAGAGGACCATGATTGCGGAGTCCACCTGTTAAGTAACGAAGGATTTTGTTAGAAATAAGTAAGATTTGTTTTAGAAAAGTCTATCTTTCTACAGTTGCGTCGGCATCGTTTTATATTTTTTTTTTAGCTTTCTTTGTGAGTGTCGGCGTTTTGGAGGGAGCATTTGCGGGGGGCAGAGCGGCCGGGAGTGGGGAGCGGCTTCCCCGCGGTCGTTAAGAAACGTCTCGGGTTTCGGTAGTCTGCTCGGACAGATCCCTTCTTGCAGCTGGTTGTGGCTTTTAGCCAAATGTGCTTGTATATAGAGGGTTTCGCCGCTTAGTGTAAAATTGTCGCTTTTTGCCCGATGCAATAACTTAGCGGTTGGCGCCAGTCAGACTGGAAAAATTGCAGAGAACAACCCTACAAGGAATTTAGGTTTGGCCGTTACAGCGACAGGATGACAGCTCGCCGACCATTGGACGACAGTGTACCACGTGGGAGTGGTGAAATTTGAAGTGATTGGTCCATCTCTGGAGAGAAAGGAGGCATCTACGAGGCTAGAAAAGGGCTGCCGAGAGGGTTCTCGGGGGGGATTCGGCTCTTGAGACTGGGGACTAAAGTACGGGGTTTTAATTTTGGAAGTTTTGTATATTACCGTTGACTTGTCGTTTTGTTTTGAAAATAAACGTGGCCACACTGGCCACCGTAAACCTACCAACGTCGTAATGTGTCCAGCGGGATCGAACAACTTTTAGTTTTTTTTTTTCGTATTCGACTTCCCGGGGGGCTACCATCGGGCGAACACCATCATCGGTCGTCACCATCTTGACCGGGCCCCTTCCCCCTCGGAAAGTTGACTCCACCACCTGTCACTCTCGATTTAAACAATGTTTTTGCAGTGTGGTTCACACATGAAGCAGTTCAAGCTGTCTCAGGCGAGCAAACAACTTACAAGAGCGCCACCCATAGTTTAGAAGCGTCGCTCAAGTGAATGTAATCATGCTCTGTGTATGTGACAGCGGGAGGTTAGTCGGTTTCATTGCTTCGTTTCCCTGGCAATCGGTTCATCAACACGCAATGTTTCATCTACAGCTCAGATTAGCTTTTTTTCTGTAATAAGCTGTATCAGATTAACTCGCTGTGAAGCAGCGTGTACGGGTCAGTTAGGTGGGTTAACATTTTTGTAATGAGCTGCCGCAGGCTGTCACCGCAAAGCGGCGTGATCGCAGGAGGGAGCGTGGGATAATAAACCCAGGAGAGCCGCGGCACCGCAGAAAGGCAACAGCCCATACCATGGAGGCCCATGGTGCCGAGTCTAGTGATGATATACACCAACTCAACTCTCCTACGTCACGCCGCGGTGGTGGCGCGCCGGACGCACTTCCGGTCTGGGGCGGTGGGCAGAAGTCGCCGTGCCAGACATGCATTCCTGTGTTCCTTTGGAAGAAACGAGACAAAAAACCTGCCTTCTCGTCAAGATGCTGCGATGGGGGCTTTACAAAGAGAGTCTGGGAAGGTTTGAAGATCAGTTTTCATGTGTTTTTGCACCCTCCGTTCGTCCGAGAACGTCGATAGCAGCCGTGAAAAGGGCAAACCTGACGCTGTCGAACTACGATTGCGTGTGCGGCCCACACTTTGTAGTCGCCAGATGTATTTGCTTTGTTCCAACATGACCGAGAGAAAACCCCCACGTTGTCCGGACCACCCACGGATTCAGTGCGTCTTCAAATTCACACGGCCGCCTGATCGTTCGAACTTTCGTCTGCTCTCTCAAAGTTGTCTGCTTTTTGTCGTCTGCTCGTTCAAACAAAAGCGGCCCGTAGACCAAACTTTGACCCAGTGATTGCAATAAGAAGTAATTGCAGGCCTCAAAAGACTTAAGTAGGCTCGGTGTAAGCAGTAGATACAAGATGTTGATCATTGGTACCGGTGGCCATCACCTACTTGTTACGCTTTGTCTGTTCCCGCTTCCGATTTTCAGTATCGACGTCGATCATCGCCGCTACCTTCTACACTTTTGCAGCACGAGGGTCGTCGCGACCGAAAATAGCTAGAAGAGTCTCATCATGGTTTTGTACGTCCATTCTGCGGCGGTCATGCAAATACATCGCCGCACGTCAAATTATTTATGCAAAGTTTAGCAGCGTAACGAGCCTTGATGATTTCGCTCAGGCGATTAAAGTGGTAAGACATTGCGATGAGGACGTAGAATCGACAACTCCAACGCGAAAAAGAGTATGCAGACTCACACAGACGCCGACAGCGTGACATTCGAATGGTTTGTTGACGCGGGACGCGGTGCTTCTTGCCCGTACTCCATTGCGCGTGCGTTCCAACTGTCGTCTGCTCTTTCAAACTTGGCTGCTTTTTGTCGTCAGTTCGTTCAAACGACAGCGGCTCGTAAACCAAACATTGACCCGGTAATTGCGATAAGAACTAAGTGCAGGCCTCAAAACACTTTTGAAGGTTGGTTGGGGTAAGTCGGCTAAGTGTAAACAGATACAAGAAGTTGTTGATCATTGTTACCAGTGGCCATCACCGACTTGTAATGCCCGATTCTACTTGAGGTTTTCAGTATCAATGTCCACCATCTCAGCTACGGTCCACGCTTTTGCAGTCCGAGCGACGTCGCGACTGAAAATAGCGAGCAGAATCTCGACGTGGGAGTCAGGCTTTAGCGCCCATTCTGCGGCGTCCACGTGAAATGAATCGCCGCAAGTCACATTATTCACTCAAAGTTTTGCCTCGATAGTTTTGCTGAAGCCGCTCAAGTAGTCAGACATTGTTAGGAGGACGTAGAATCAACAATTCCAACGCGAAAAAGAGCACGGGGACTCCCACCGACGCCGACAACAACGCAATTCAATGGTTTGTTTATAGGCGACGGCGGGCTTCTTGCCCACCATCCACGGCGCATGCGCGGCGCCGGTGACGTCCGCTAGGGGCGCTCCGGTTTGTTTGTAAACATGAGTTGGTGTATAAGTAGGATTCCGTGTTTTCTGAATTTTTTTTTTTTTTTAATTTGGGAATTATTTTTTTTACAAGTTAATTTTTTTTTTTTTTTTTTTACAGATTTGGTGTTTTTTGTGTACAGTTGTTATGATTGAAACCAATTTAAACAAAAACACCGCATCTAAGAAAAATGAAACTGTGAGAAAAAAAAAGGCTCCGAAAACACGGAACGCTAGTACATATATACACACGTGATGAAATGTCCCTACAGCGTGCAATTCGCGTAATGAGTGTCGATGAAACGATCGTGTCGTCGAAACGTGTGTCCATGAAAAGTTGTCCACGAAACGAGTTTCGACGAAACGACTGCTAGCCTAGCAGCGATACACGACTGCGTTCTGTGCCGCGCAAGCTACCCGTGCCCCCGTGTCCCTAGCTGCGGTGTGCTAACACACTCGGCCAGCGGAGTATGTACGATCTCTATGGCCAGCGGCGACCCGCCCTCTCTCTCTCCAGAGTCAAGACAACATGGACAACAGCAACCTCACAAGAAATGCTCATGCTCTCTCTGAAAGAGCCTGTATTACAGAGTGTGTCCAGCTTTGTCTGTTGGGGAGGCGGGCGCGGGGAGAGGGGAAAACGCTCCCCATGGTATGAGATGGACCCTCTCTTCAATCTAGGCTCTCTGCGCGCCTATGCCGAGTGTCGATTACGCGAAATTAGAGATGCATACACGCTTGTACGTAATTTTACAACTGTTTCTACATGTAAAACTTTATTGTTTTAAAATATAAAGTTATTTTCGGAATTAAAAAGTTTTATTTTATTATGTAGGCATCCGATGTCCAAAGGGGGCGCAGCGGTCTGGTTCCTCTTTTTGTTTTCTCCTATTTTTTTTTTTTTTTTTCTGTTTGCAAGGTTTTGAAGCAGTCCAGTTGGTCCAGTGCACAAGTGGTTAGGGGTGTCGCGAACTTTTGTCGAACCAGATTTTTTGGTCGAACTTTCGGGGTTCGACTGGGTCGAACCGGTTCGACGAACCTTCGAACTTTTCACCAGTTTCGACCGGTTCGACTTTGTGGACAGTGTGGCCAGACCTTGATACAAGCATGTCTAGGTTTGGAGAATTTCTTTTTTTATGCAAAAGGTTATTTTATTGTGTGAACAACTGCAATTAAAAGAAAACTAATTCTATTCACTGAAGAAGTTAATAACTTAAATTTTAGTACTGTATTGACTGAAATAGCTGATCAGCGCTGCACTTAATTCATCTCTTAGCCATTACCATCCAATCTGAAGCGAACTGGCCAGCCTGTCGCGCATGCGCACACGAGTCGAACCTCAATACAAGGTTTGACGAACTTTACACTAAAAGTTCGAAAAAGTCGAACCTGGTCGAACTCGAACCGCGACCGGTTCGCGACACCCCTACAAGTGGTACAGGCAGTACAGGTCTTTTTGGAAAGTGATTGCGGTAATCTGCCTTCTTCAGCGAACCGCTGTAGTTTATAAGCATTCAGATAGCACTTTCAACGTTAACGCTGAAGCTGTGGCGCCGGGCACCAACCCTCGAACCCTGCGTGAGTATGTGCACGTTTCTTATTTTGTTGCTGGTGCTTGTTTTTCGGCGGGATGCAACACGCGGGTCCTAGGCCTACTTCTTGCGTGATTATTCGAAAGGACTGCATACACCGGTTTCGTAATAGATTCAGTTCTAATTGACCTCAGAGTATTATATATATCTTTTAAATTAAATATCGAAGGATGAGTTTGTCTGTCCACTTTATTCTCTCCCTTTTACTTTGTCTTCCCGTTTCTTTCCCTGTCTCAGGGTTGAAACAATGACTATTACGCAGCAGTTCACCTGCACTATTCTGTTTCATACTTAGCGTGCAACGCTGTCAAAGCTGCTGGCGCGAGCGCGTGGCTTCGTCAATGGTTTTGTTTGCGCGAGAACGCGTGCAAATGTTCAACGAGATCAAGCCCCAAGCTCGCGCCAGTAGCTTTGACAGCGTTGCACACTAAGTATGAAACAAAGTATAAATAAAAAAAAAAAAAAAAACGCTGAAATGAAAACCATTTTAAAGCAAAGCTATGTTTTTTTAACTACTACTTGGTGTGCGTGCGGCAATCAAACATCGCAATGGGCCACTGTTTTTTTTTGTTTTTTTTACCTACTTTGAGTGCAGCCATTAAATGGCATGATGAGCCACTCTGGCGTTTATTTTGGCAAAAGAAAGATGAGAGAGAAGCTTGTCTTGTTTCCTTTCTTCTGGATCTATTCTGCTATAATATGGCCCACAACTCTATTTGATTTCGCAGAAAAAAGCTTAGTTGAACGTTTGTCCCTAGGAAAAAATTTCATCTTATTTTTCTTTTGACCCAGGTGAGCTAATATTTTAAAACTCTTAAAGGGATGCTGAACAGAAATCTGGATTCCACAAAGCACGACGGCAAAAGTGTGCAACGGGATGCTACAAACACCAAGACATCACTAATAAGCGATATATAAAATGGATGACAGTGTTTTTCAAAAAAAAAAAAAGGGAGGTGCATTTGACATATATGTTCACGTCTTGTTTCTTCGAGAGGACCCAAGGAGAGGGAACGGCCTCGCGCCTTGTCCGCCTCGCCGCCTTGAGGGGGCGAAACAAAGAGAGGAGGAAACGAGATATCTTGACCTCACGCGCCTCGTCGGCCTTGTTAAATCTCTACCTTTTTTTCCCCAAAAGTATGGCCGTTGATTCGGTATATCACCTTACGAGTGGTGTTGTAGGAATTGTAGCGTCCCGCCTGCAGCTCCTGCATTGTTTTCTGAAATCCAAATTTTGGTTCACGATCTCTTTGAATGAGAAATGTGCCATTTATCAGTGTCTTTGTAGTACATCATTGCATGATACATGGAGATTCCAATTTATGTGGCCCCTTTGACGAGCCACACTTTTATCGAGGTCTCACTGTAAATTGTAAAGATCAATCTTGCTGCAACATTGTCATTTACACTGAAAGTGAAGCTCTGTGATGCATTTGTTTGGTGCAAGCAACCTTTGCATACACCTTTTGTTCAGCTTGTCTCTTGTTTTGTGCCAGCAACCTTGACATACAACTTTTGTTCAACTTGTCTCGTCCTTGCTTTTGTTTCGGTGCCTATTCTATTCGCAACTCCAACACACTGTAGACGGCGGGGCAATAGTTCAAAGATGGCCAAACAGACAGGAATAAATTTTCCAGGACTTCCTTTGCACCTGCTCGCTGATCAGCGAGCCAAACTACAGTTATTCGGCTACAAATCCGAAGCGGTCAGAGCAGGAGTCTACCACAGGTGGAGATGTTGACACACATCAAGAAAAATCAGAATATTGATTTTTAAAAAATTGCCAAGCCAAGATCAACAGTTTCTATATTAAGACTCATGTTTTCCGGTAAATATGGCGTGTTCGTATGTTGGTGCATGATGGACCAACGTGCCGACAGTCTCTGCCACCATCTCTGCTGTCGTCCCCGCTCCTCTGGTTCTTATAGCGAGTTTGTTTCACACGCATTGGCACTGTTTGAGTTCTCTTCCAAAATGCATCGCACTCGCGGAGTGTTGCATGGAGAACTGACCTCAAACAAACTTGCCAATTGCACCGAGTGCAGAAGACTGATGCTGTCGCCATCTACAGGGTGATTCAAGGAGAGGCCAGGCTCTTTAAATCGACCGCACAATTCGGTTTCTTAACCTATCTTGCTACGACTTTGTGCAGCGTTGCCCACAGATGGTGCATTGCCACCAGTCTTCAAACAACACGGTGGCGTTTTGCACGGGAGACAAGAGATGGCGCAAGCGGTTGCGACGCCAACTGCCGCCAACGAACGAGCATAGACGCCGAGAGCCGGCATCTTTAGCAGACAAGGAACTGCAGTTCCTTGTTGTTACCGCACCTGTTTTTGTTTCTGCGACTGTCGCCGCCTGCGGAACGTGCGCCGCTTTTGAGTCAAAAAGATTGTCTGCTAAAGACGCCAGCTCTCGGCGCCGTAGGCTCGTTCGTTGCGCCATCTCTTGTCTCCCGTGCGAAACGGCGCCGTGTTGTTTGAAGACTGGTGGCGTCGCTGCATTTCCATAGGAGCTAAGCCTTTTTCTTTCTTTACTTTTTCCTCGGGTAAATTCGCTTTTTGCAAATTTTACAAAAAAAATGCACCATCTGTGGGCAACGCTGCACAAAGTCGTAGCGCGATATGTTAAGAAACCGAATTTTGTGGACGATTTAAAGAGCCTGGCCTCTCCTTGAATCACCCTGTATGTTGTAGAGGTAGTAAAGGCTTCAAACCGAAACTAGCGTCTTTCTGTTCGACGTGATGAATGGGAATGCGAGAGTGCATTCGCTGCCAACGTTTTTATGTAAACGTTGGTGGCTGTAACCTGTAGTTTACATATGCGATGACTTCGAGCAACTCGGCTAAGAGCCGGCGTAAATTTCCGCAATCAGCGAGCAACTACAAAGCAGCTGGTTGCAATCTTTCAATTCTTATAACCGTTTATACTGGAGAAAACTGATCATGCTGTCTGCGCAGAAGCTTGGTTCGTTTTAGCATGCTATTATGCATGAACCACTGAAAGGGTACGGCTTAAAACTAGTCTGTTGGAATATCCAGCAAAACATTTGGTGGGACATTCGATCTCGATCGTCGGTACAGGTGGATCAGATATTAGCCTTGTCGAAAACTTTCCCAAACATAATACGCCGGGGCAAGATAGCTAACTTAAGTAAATGTTAAAGGTGATGTTGCCCAAGCCTCGGGTAAAGTCGCTATGTTTAGCTTTCTCGGATGCTTATTAGGCAGACAGGTTTCTGCTGAGATAGCTTTGTCGACAAATGTTTCATTTTTCACCCGCATATGGATGGTGATAAAGATATCGGGGGCCGCTGATGCGTTTGTTTGTTCTGAGCATTTCTTTACACACCGGTATATTTCAGCATCTGTACGGCAACAGGGCGACTAAAAACTTGTAAATAAAGCATGGGTTGTCAATTGCTTCCTTTATGAAACAGCAGACGCTCACAATTCAAGCTCACGTTTGATTCCGTTGCCTGCAGGACACGATTTCTATCAGAAAATCTACTTTTTTTTTCCTTTCGGTTTTGCTGCACAAATGACACATCGTAGCAGACAAACCCTCGCCGGAGCGAGGCATGACAGAATTGCATTTCGGTGCAGCGAGTGCATGCACGCGTGGGGTGTCGCCGCTGAAACAAACTCGGGAGAGTGCAACCACTCGTGAAGTGCCGGCCAAAAAGAACTCGCTCCACGCTGCGAGTGGGCACGCGTGGACACGAGTGCTGTGAAACGAACTCGCTATTAGTTTGTATGCGAGACGACCGTCAAGCTGGAGTTGGGAATAAACCATTTGCTATATTACCCAAGCGCCCCGGCCCGCACTCGAGGAATCATGGGAATGGTGTTCCCTAGTGATCGGTAATTTTGACCAATTCGATGCTTACATAATTTTTTTAGTGTAATCCGCTCATTCTGGGTAAGCATCGTGTAGATTGCAAAGATCTCTCATATCACTTCTAAAATTTCTCGTCGGTATTCATTACACTATGCGTCCAATCTTCCCTTCAACCTGGCTGAGCTAGAGAAATCTCTTACAATATAACCATTCTCGTGAATAGTTGTTTTAGCAGGATAGCTTAAAATGCAGAGAAAATACAACAACCAAAACCAGGATTTAGCTCAGAGTCAGCGGGGTTATTTATAGCATTTTGAGCATTCCTAAGTTAATATGAGCTTCTTGAGCTATATGAGAATGATAACACTAAGAGATTCTTGCAGCTCAGCCAGGTCGAGGGGGTTGATGGGGCAAGCACAGTGGAAAAACGCTGGCATTGCCGATAAATTTTAAGTGACAGGTTAGGTCTCTGCAATCTACATGACTCTTATTCAGGAGGACTTCAGATTACACTCAAAACAGGTGCTCATCGAAGTGGTCGAAATTTTCTATCACTAGGTAAACTGAAGAAACACTTTGCTTGAAGTGACGCATTATGAGAAATAATGTTCGACCACCACTGGTGTTGGCAAAGTCACAATTAACAGCAGGTGTTTTGTATGGTTAGCTGCTTTGTCGCAAGTTTAAATACAAGCAAATAATGAAGATAACTTGTTCAGATAGGTATTTACTTGCGTCCAGAATTTCTTATCTGCTCTGCAGAAAGAAAAGGTTAAAACACCATAAGTTTAGGACATCAGTATTTGTAATGCCCTGATCTTCGAAGGAAGCTCTCCAGAATTTGGGGTGTTTTGCTATTCTGGATTCCAGTACCATTATCATAGGATGTGTGAGCTAGCAAACATTGACCCCTTTCAAACTGCTGCTTCTGCATACAGGATGGTCAAGCCCTTCGCAGTAGTGAAGTTCCCTGAAGAGAAGGACAGTCTCGCAGCTGTGCCAGTCGGATGGCTGTCGGAGGACGAGTTGTTTTGCACTTGGCCCATGCACGTGAAAGGGTGCCAACTCATAAGCCTGGTTGAAGCGCAGGCTCCACCTGGCGTTGTCGGCAAAGGCTGGGAGGTCTTCCCTGTCATTGTAATTAAGACCTACTGTAAGTAATTTGTTTACAGACCCATTGCCTTTTCCTTTTTTTTTTTTTGAGGTGTGTGATTGTGGGTCATTATTTTTCCAGAAGAGAATCTAAACATCAAGCACATGATACTGTCAATGGGACCTAAAATACTTTTTAGTAAGTTTTAAAGTGATTTTAAACATTTTTTATGCATTTCTAAGGTGTAAAGTTTTGAAAGTTCTTGGTCAAGCTCGGGTACTCAATACCGTCGAAACCAAAAGAGAAAACACATGTGTCCTATTATTTTTTTTTCTCCAGATTCGGGTTTTTATGTTTAAAGGTCATCAGTTTGCCTGATTCCTATGTTATTTATATCACATACTCAGTTTGTATTTTTCTTTATAACCTGTACTGGTGTGCAGGCAGAGTTGTATGAAACAATTTCGCTTGGTAGCTAATTTGAGAAAATATGCCGTTATCTGCAGCTACTAGGTTTGAAAGCTGCAACTATATTTTATTCTCTGCTAGAAAGATGTGAATGCTTGCAGACAAACTTCATTGGCTCCTGAATAACTGTTTCAAGCTACGGCATATTGCAAGAATGGTCCAGAAGCCAGTACTCGTTATGATAAAACAAACTACACTGACGAGTGCAGTGGAGACACAGGCAGCTAGCTTTGTTTCTACATACTAATCCTTCGAATTAAAGCTCGGCGTTTTGACGTCCCCTCACGCTCTCGCCTCCTCCTCTCCCTCACCTTCTCAGCACATACACAAGTCCATTTTTCTCTAGCAAAAAGAAAAAAAAATTTGTCATGTAATGTATACACCAATTCAGCTTCCCCGCTAAATTTAGTAGGAATTTAACATTGTGTAGCACCGATTGCATATCGGTGCAGTCACGAGGTGTAGTTTGCTCCCAATAGACAAATTTGGATAACGAATTCTGTCATGCATATCTGAAACTTGAACAATTAAAACAATTAACTATCAAGAGTATGCATAAAAATATCTGATAAAGAGCACCGTGAGTGTATTGCTAAACGTTTGTGATGCTGGAACGTTTCACACACGCGTGACAGAATTTGCTATCCAAATCTGTTATGTAAAGTCAGCGTAGTTTGTTTATCAACTCAGTTATTTTTTTCCGCTGAAATGTGTCTTGCAGAACTATATTCAGCTGAAATTCTTCAATTTCAGTCTCCATACTTCAAACACAAATTTTATTTACAGGGACCTACAAAAAGGCTGCCAAGAAAGTTCGCCAGTACGTCTGGACCTCCACCGTAGAGACATCAGATTTTTCGGGTGATTACTGAGTTCCAAGGCTTTGTGAAAATACCTTGGGGTAAAATAATGGGATGTTCTGATACATTGTTTTTTTTTCCTAGCAAATGAGGCCTTGCCGGGAGTGGAAGCAGTCGAATCGCATCCCCCCCTCAGAATGCCTTCACCACGTAAGCATTCAGTTATAGTAACCATTATCTGTATTTAAATGATAGGCTGTGTACAGTATTATTCACACTTCTTCAGTGAACAACATGCTTTGGGCATTTACGTGGCTTGTGGCAAGTAATAAGCTTCTGAATGGCTCTCTGCCATTCAGAAGCTCATTGGAGGTGCTGGGTATTTGAGAGGTGAAATCTGTTAGTTACTTTCAGTCTCAATGACCTATGAAATGTAGTTCTCTCAGGATATCTTTATGATAGATATTAGGGTACCTCTCTAAAAATATAATGTTACTATTAATATTTCTTAGGTTGAGGCGCTCTGCATGGTTCAAACTAGGCAGCTTTGCTAGCCATCCACCTCAATAAAATTTTATTAAGTAAATTATAAATCACTTATGCAAACAATGTAATTGGTGTGCTGATAAACCATTGTAGTGCCTAACCATGTTTGCTTGGTGTGGACACTGTCTTTATGCTATTCAGCTGCATTGAGCTCCCGCTCGGTGGGGGGTCAGCACAAGACCAGCCAGGCAGGCAGACGCCAACCTCAGCTGCAACCTCAGCACAGCCAGGAGGAAAATGAGGGGGTCACCTGTGAGTCTGCTTGTAATTTTAAACGTTCAGAGTTGAACAACTTGAAGATTGCATCAACAGAGCCGTAGTAAGACTGTCTTAATGCTATTCAGCTGCATCAAGTTCCCATTCGTCAGCCATAGGTTGCGAGGATGACCTGGCAGAGACCCTGCAAGCGCAGGAAGTGAACCAGCCCGAGGACAACCAGGAGGCCAGTGAGGATCCCAGTCGTAAGAATTTATAGGTTTATACTTTTTAACATTCAGAGCTGAACTTAAAAGTTGCACCCGTTTGCTAGTGTGTGTATTTATGCTGTTGTGAATGGTGTCCTGGAAACAGATTGGGATAAGGTGTAACTAAAAGATAGCTTTGTTTTGTTGTTACATAAAAAAGCTTGAACTTGACCTTTAGAAAAACAATTTTCAACAATGTGAAAAAAAAAATATTGGTATCATCTTTCGGGAATTTCTGGGAAATTGGAATTTACTAGTTTTTGTTGAAGTACTTGGACATTGCTGAAGGGCTCAAAATATTAATGGGGTAAAAAAAAATGTATCTGCCAGTTAAATTTTCTTATATTCATGTAAAGTACACATGCAACAAAAGCAAAGGGAATTTTTTTTTTTTAACTTGCATGGGAAAAGTTGTAAAACAAATTTACAATGAACAAAAAAGCTTTTTAGAGCTATATTTACGAAGCGAAACGAATTTGTAGTTGGCGCCCGTGGAAAAGTCGTCGCTATTTATCATGTGATTTGCCGCTATTTATCACATGGTGCTTGTGCTCTTTCGGAAGCTTCCTATTGTCTCTAAAAGTCACTTATTCATCTTCGTTTGAAGTGCAACAAAAAAAAAAAAAAGATTAATAAGAACTTTTAGAGCTCAAAGGAAGCTCCTGAAAGAGCGCAAGCACCACGTAATACTGTGCTGTAATCAGAAATCGATGGCGGCGGCACGCCGAAGTCTTCCCTTCTGGCGGTGGCGCGGAGACACTCATTCAACTGGTGGTGCAGCACACTTGGTGTGCAGCGGCAGCACACAGGTCTACTAGTGACCAGCGGCGGCTCCCGCGAGTGCACTCTACAAATTAGTTTCGCACCGAAAATATAGCTATAGAACTTTTTTTCTTCGTTGTAAATTTGTTTTCTGACACTTTTTCGATCTATGCTGTTTAAAAACAAATTTATTTTCCTTTGCATGTGTCCTTTAAACAACAAAGCATTTATTCTCAAGCATTGAAGGGAAAATGTTGTAATAAGGTGGTGAACTGGGCCAGTTGGTTGACGTTATACGTGATAGGGAAAACGACTCAGAAAACACGGACTATGAAGAGGAACAGACACGACAGGACAATGCTGTACTCTCAACTGAAGAATTTTAACAAAGGAAACAAAGACAGAAAAAAACATACACATCATCTTAAAAGATTTCACAAAACCAAAAGACCACTCTCGCCAACCATGAAGCGTGTCAATAAACTACCCGTTCACTACGTGACCCATTTTTTGCCGCAGGAAGGAAATCTTTTGGCTCATAGCGCCAATGACGGTTTGCTAAAACATGAATGAACATGACACAAAATGTGGAATGCCTCAATGTTCTCTCTCGTCGCCCTATCCTTGTGCGCGCCCAGAACGGTGACTCTGCCAAAGTCAGGCAGACACTTGCACTCTGCAATGAATGGGCAAAGGCCCCCCAGCCGTAGCTCCTAGCGAATATGAATGCTCTCGTAATCTGTCATTCAGACATCTTCCTGTTTGCCCCACGTAGCACCTGTTACATGACAAAGGTATCTTATATACCACACACGAAACACAAGTGACAAACGGTTTTCTGTGCGCCTTGGTGCACTTTGCGCTGGAACGACCAACTACCCCCGCACCAATCCTGGAACATATCTGGCCCATTTTTTGGGGCGCCGAAAACACTACCACACGCTTCTTTTCCCTTTCCGGCCCCGTCCTCTCCACCCCCTTAGCTTTCTTAAGAGCACCAAGGCGCACAGAAAACCTTTTGTCACTTGTACGTGCTTCACAGGCACGTAGCCAGGATTTTGTTTTTGCCCATGACAAGATGCTGTATGAAGGGGAGGGGGGAGAGGAGGTCCCAGCAAAATGGAAGATTTCGGGGGGGGGGTCCGGGCCTTATGGGCCCCCCCCCCCCCCGGCTACGTGCCTAGTGTTTCGTGTGTGGTATATAAGATACCTTTGTCATGTAACAGGTGCTATGTGGGGCAAACAGGAAGATGTCTGAATGATAAATTACGAAAGCATTCATATTCGCTCAGAGCTATGGCTGGGGGGCCTTTGCCCATTCATTGCATAGTGCAAGTGTCGGCCTGACTTTGGCGGAGTCACCGTTCTGGGCGCGCACAAGGATAGGGTGGCGAGAGAGATCATTGAGGCCTTCCACATTTTGTGTCATGGTCATTCATGTGTTAGCGAACCGTCATTGGCGCTGTGAGCCAAAGAGATTTCCTTCCTGCGGCAAAAAATGAGTCACGTAGTGAACGGGTAGTTTATTGACACGCTTCATGGTTGGCGAGACTGTTTTTTTGTTTTTGTGCAATCTTTTAAGATACTGTGCATGTTTTTTTCTGTCTTTGTTTCCTTTATTAAAATTCTTCAGTTGCGAGTACAGCATTGTCCTGTCGTGTCTGTTCCTCTTCGTAGTCCGTGTTTTGTGAGCTGTTTTCCCTATCATGAACATATTGCTTCTGCATTTTATAAATAGTGTTCTTAGGACCGTGTCAAATGATCACGCGACACCCTAAGCAGCATGAGGAACAGAGCGTCACGGTAGCTATGCAAAAAAGTTGAAACAATGTTCAGCTTTATTTATTTTCAAATAATAAATTGAGAGATAAAAATATTGAGTTATTTATCGGTATTCATGTTTGTTGTACACTACTACATCACTGGACTGGAATATACCTCCTGTCGTTTTGTAACCATTGCAGCCGTGCTGCGTGTCCCGCCACAGCTCGCATTCATTGCGAGATGAGGTTGTGGAACCTTATCATGAAATAGAATTGTACGAAAACATAAAAGTGAAGCAATAAAAAAAAAAATTATATTCCCAACAAGATTTAAATTTAGGACTTCACAAAATCATCATCACTGAGGGACATCCGCGCACAGCCTCTTGGCTATTAGCACATCCGTTTTGGATTATTTATTTTCGTTGTGTAGTTTTAAATTGGATGTTATACTTTCCCCGTGACTAGCTTTATAGTCATGAGTTTTCAAATAATTATTTTTGACCACAATCTTCCTTAGCAGTAACTTGACATGCTGATTCTCTAGTACGCTAAGGCGATTAATTTCGCTTCTATTTGGAGCATTTGTGTCCTTGTTCTGCTAGCGGATCAGCAATTTGTCCGGTTAAAGCGAAAACATGTTCACAGCTTGCAATTAGTTTATCGGGGTGTAATAGGCGACGCTAGAGCTCTGTGAGGTCAGCGATCTTACAATGACCTTAGCATAATATCAGACGTCAGATTTCATCTGTTGACTTGTGTTAGAGTTGTGTTAGAGCCGCTGTTGGAGCGATATCTGACTCTCTGGCTTCGCCCATCTCGTTTGATCTGCATGGACATCTTGCGCAGGCAACAAAGAGGTTCTATTGGTTACCTACCATGCGGTACTTTTAGAACTGCGGGCCGGGAAACTGAAATAATCTTTTCTGTGCTACTAAATGAATGTGGGATATATAGATGACAAACATATAGCTCAGAATTCTGAAGAAGCAAAAATATTCCCGACCCTTCTAAGGGCATGCATATTGTCCAATGCACCTTTGGTGTTATCACTAACTTAAATTTTCTTCTTCAGTGGCTGCAGATCTTTTGTAAACAACCAGTACGAAAACATGTTTGACAGCCGCAAAATGTGTGCTCCATGCCACAGTCAGCTTCACTGTAATTGCTGTGATAAAACTACTGTGCCATAATGGCTCTGTTATCCCCTTCGAGTGTGAGAAAAAAACAATGTGGTTTTAGGAACGGAGATGAGCAGCATTTTCATTGATATCCAATGCAAATACCATGTCCCATGGACATTTTGTTGCATATCACGAAGTTGGGTCTCTGTTGTCCTTTATTTTGGACACATGAATTTCTTTGGTTACAAATTGCTGCATGGGAAAAAGTCTGCTGAAAATAAGTTTTAATAGAAGCACCCATAATAAATGAAAACATTCATCTATAGTTGCTGACAGTATTAGAGCAGGAGGAAGGCTCTTCAAATGTCCCAAATCCAATGCAAGCTTCCTACTTTCGATAATGCTTTGACGTCTCGCGAGTCTTGAGCGTGTACGCATAGCCAAAGCACACCTGAAGGTAGCGAACACTTGCTGGAGGCCGGGCATCTGAAAAAGATGCCATTCTTATCCTGTCAGTTAGAATAGTCGCTTAGCCAAGGTCTGGAGTGGGACAAGTAGTGGATTGATTAGGAAGCTGATTTAGGGCAGCTTGCTATACATTGAAGTCTCTCATGTCATTACTTTTATATTGTTTTTAACTATCTTCACTAAACAAATATAGGACCTGTAAATGTAGGTTACCAGCTGTATGCTGACAGGTTCAAGAGAAGTCTGAATGAAAATGTGCAAAGAGCTTGACATGAAAGTATTCTGTTCCAGGTGTCCAGCTGAAAATGATACACCTTTTGGTCGAAATTCGACAACAGAATAGGGACATCCTGCATCAGTTTTCACAGCTGAGGCAGGATGTCCTCGACATCTCTGAGAGGGTGGCCTTGCTGGAGGCACCGGCAGCTCAGGCAGCACGAGCCCCACAGGTCCTGCCCCTGATTCTCCCAAGGCTGCCAGCCGAAAGCCTTCAGCAGTTGGAGGCAGCAGAGGCAGCAGTCAAGGAGAAGGGTGTAGCCAAAGCCTTGGTAGTTATTGCCTTTTATGTTTTAGGTTGCCCATATCAGTGTGTCCTTATTTATTCTTTTTTAATGCTACACTGTCGTGGAAAAGGCAGTGGTAACAGAGAATGTATTATATGTGTCACTGCGTGGTGATGTTGCACAGACGAGCTTAGTACACATTTTACAACTTCATGGCATGAACATCGTCATACAAAGCCTTTCTGAAAGAATGTCCTGCCAAAGTTAGTGCTCCAGCTGCAGAGGAATGTGCGGTATGTGTGTCTAGCCGTCACACACCCCAGTGTTGTCCCTACTATTTCTTAACCCCATTTTATTCGAGGCATGTGCTTGTTCTCTTCCCATTTGCCTCCGGCACACACTCCCACGTGGACGATAAATGGATTGATGTTATACTCCTCTTCATCTTGCGACGTACTGAATGGATGCTACAAGACAAATCAATCTATAGTTTGTGGTGTGTCGAGGACTACAATTCCACCCAAATGTCGATGCAGCACTCGTGTGGTATTTTTTCACAGCAGGAGTGTGAAGCTGGAAGCTGCTAGGAGCCAACTTCGTAACGGGAAAACTGTTGTTTCTTAACCTTTTTAATGGGAGCAAGCTATATACCTAAGCAACTTTTTGTGGTAATGTACTGAAAGGAATAGGCATGTATGCTTAGCATTAAGGACGCCTATGTTGCGCACACGTGAATGATTTGGAGGATAAGTACAGGTATGTTCTCGTTGAGCTGAAGGTTGTTTCAAAGCTACACATCTGATGTATCTTTAGGTACATTTCACGTGGAACACTTAATTAGCGTTGTTTAAACATTTATGCAGAAGTGCTTTCTATCAAAGGAGTTAATGGGTAACTCCTCAGTTCCAAACGTATTTGAGATTAGGGGTAAATTATTGTAAACTACTAAATCCACTCACACAGTAATATGCGGCTCGGGCAGCATTTTTAGCATTAAAAAAGAGAAATTTAAATGCATTTCCCTGTTTCACTTTTATCGGAATGCAATCTTCCTCCCCGTGACCAAAATGTACAACATGCATGGTGCCGCCTCGCATCGCATGTGTCTAGATCAGGGGTGGCCAAGCTGCGGCTCGCAAGCAGCGTGTGGCTCGTGACCCCCTCCCTCCTGGTCACACGAGCACTTCCCCACAAAGAGAAATAGGACGCATTTTAAATTGAAAGACAGGTTGCAATTTGGTAATCTTGTGCTACTACTACCTTAAGTAGAATTGAGTTGCTTTTGTCCCTGATAGATTGAAAGTTGGGAGTTTTGTTTATTGTTCTGTACAAGACCCCCCACCCCAACCCCCACACAGTTCTTGGTAGTTTCGTGGTTTTGTTTACGGCTCTTTCCGCCGAATTTGCAAACCTCATTCCAATTGCGGTGCCCCTCCACTTCCTCTAGGAAGGCGCGAGGGCCGGCGTTGGCCAATCGCAAGGAGCCTAGGCCACCAATCCGTCGTCGCGATTGGCCAGCACCGGCCCTCGCGTCTTTTTTGAGGAATTGGAGGGGTGCCTCAATTGGAGGGAGGTTTGTGAATTCAGCGGTTAGGCCGGGTCAGCCTTGCCACCCCTGGTCTAGATAGAGCTGCTTCCGGACTTCCGCTTGAGGCTTGCCTTGTTGATGTCAGTGCCCATCTGAACACGCACCTCTACGTGCGATGCATGGCAGTGCACGCATGTTGCACCATCATGCATCACAGATGATAAAAGAGAATCATGTGTTTTCTCATTGCTAGCCGTCCGCCTGCTGCACGAGTGGTAACTTTAGTGCACCCCACATGCTTCACACACGCTCAGCAAGTTTCCAATTGGAACCATATGTTTATTTTTAATAAAGGGTTATTATTTTTTTCATTCGTGTTTTTTATAATCCTTGACGTCCGCCGGCGGTTTGTTACCCAGTTTTTTTTTCTCAATCACCCTATTCATGGGGATTTTTAAGCATATTAGCAGGAACACCTAGCATAGTATTTGAATGAACCTTTGAAACCGTCTTTAAGAAACTGCCGAATTTCCGTCGTGGCTGAGTAACACAATATAAATATAAAACTAGCATTTATGGAATATGGATTTTAATTACTAATGAAATTAAAGAAGCTCCTTGAAGCACTTTCATGCTGCCAGCACCTGTGGCTAAATTGTTCAGGTTTTGGGAGTGTTTGCATCTTTGTTGCAGGTGTAGAATGAAACTATGCAGGTGGTACTAGAGAGCAATTTTAAATTAGTTTTTATTACAACATGGCACTTCTATACATAATTTGTGGTTTTATAGTCATTGTTTTGTTTTACAGCAAGATCAGCTGCAGAAGATTGGGGGCAGGAACCTTTCAGAGGTAACTGCTGGCATCATGAAGAGTATCATGGGTCATCCGGTCCAGGTGCTCTTCAGCCTCTACGGCCGCAAGGGCAAGAGGGCCTTTATCAATTTGGGCCTGTGCACCATCGCAATAGGTAATATTCAATTATTGAAATTCCTGGCTGCCCTACAAACTTCATTATGGAACCCCATAGTCACTGACAGGGCATGGCCTGATATATGCACCACTGCCCATCGAGCGTGATGCTGCACTCAACAAGCTTGACCACACCCTATTTCGATTGTACAAGCCCCATGCCGGTAGGATTAGGACATATGTTGCTTAAAATTGTACCCTGTACATATTAATATCTGTTCATTTTTATGACCTGTAAACAATACAAACCCAGAAAGGACAAATGTTAAATTACGGTGAGGGTGCAGGCGAGCTGGTGTATACATTACCATTTTGATGAATTACCCAAGACCGAGGCAGGAAACCTAGAAACATCCAACTGTGGAAAAAAGTGAAAAAGGTGACAGGAGGAACGTCCTCCTGTCACCTGTCATTTTGTTTTATGGTTAATGGAAAAAATAACCGTGGCAGATTGAAAACGGTGATGGAGCAAAGTCCTTTTGTCTCCTTTTTTAATCTCTTCCATGGATGGATGTTTCTTGGTCTCTTGCTCCAGTCTGAGGTAATTCATCAGAAGGACAGAAACGAGTTTTGGAACTTTTCACTTGTAGCTGACCAGCAGACTACACTTAGACTTCGTTTACGTTCGCTACACGTTTTCCTTGAGATAAGGCAACGGTATTAAAATGTGCTGCAAGCATTGTATTTGACAACCACATGAGTGCTGTATCCTCATATTTTGAACTGTTTTACCTTTATGACACTTGAGTTTCTTGTTGTAAGTTTCATTAGAACTTGTATGAGACCAAGCATTGCCCCGTGCAGAGTGAGAAAAAGGCTGGAAGCCAATTGTCAAGCAAACAGCGGGGCCTACAGATGCGCTTTCTTGCCGCTTTCGTCCTGTCGGTGACTATAGTCACGGTCAATGTGCTCTGGTAAAAAGAAAGTGTTTTTTAATTTGAATTTTTTAACTCGTGGAACCACTTTGCAGATGCCATCTGTCAAAAATGGTCCGTGGACAGGGTTCAAGCCCAGGCAATCATTGGGAGGTGGCTGCCCGGCTCAGTGGATCGAGGAGGGGGCAGGAGAAGGAGATTTGAGGCAGCCCTTGTCTCTGACCTGCCTCTGGTCCAGCCCCTGCCCCTGGTCCAGACCCCTCCTCAGTTCATTCCTGAGCCTGCACACTAAGATTGCTGCCTGGACCCCTGCCAAGCCCACCCAAGCAGATGCTAGTGTGGTCAATAAAGTCTACAATTTTCTGAAGGTTCTGAACTGTTCATATTTGCATGCCATATAAAATTGCACGGGACAAAGTACTTAGTTTTCTCTGTAGGCTTTCTTTTGGATAAGTGCTCTGTTACTGAATGGCTGGCTAAACAATTGCAGTCAATATTTGAATAGTCTATGGACAACAATGGGTGCCTGATCTAAAACAGCCAATGTACAGCCTCCAGATCTTTTAACAACATCGCGCGAACGCCGACCAGCTGGTAGATCACCGCCTTATTGCTGCGCGAATGAGTATAGGTCAACAAGACTAGGCGCATGCCACAGAAGGCTCTCCTAGCCTCGCTGACTTGCTGTTTTACGATGCGATAAAGCGCTGATCTACCGGCCGGTCGACGTTCGCGCGATATGTTAAAAAGAATTCTGGAGGTTTTACGAGAACGGCTGCCAGCATTGGAATAGCCAATGTGTATGATTGGCTGCCAATATTAGGTTAGCCAATGTATATGAATGGAAGCCAATATTGGATGAGCCAGTGGTAAAGGTTGGATGCCAATAATGGTTGAAAAACGGTCAGCCAATAGTGGGCCATGTTGGCTATGCCGTTGGCTAAATCATGGCCCATCTTGGCACAGAACGATGGTCCAACATTGGATCGGGTAGCGCTTTCGAAAAAAACCAACGTCGGACCAAGATTTGTGCCAGGTTTCGCCAATGATGAGCCAATGTAGGTCCCACATTGGTGTGCTGCCTGGGTACCGGCGTGTACCGCCATCTTTCCGGTCTATAGTGAAACACTTGGTAACAATTCAAAACTTCGGCGTCAAAGTTCGCTTGCTTTGCAGATTGTTCCATTTTCCAGGGGGCGTACTTGACTCGTTTAACGTCCCATGGAACTGCCAATAAGCATACTCAAAGTTTAAATTTCTATAGCCTCTTTTTTTTCTTCTAAATTTTTTCATATAGGCAGGGTGGCCCATATACATTACAGGGTTTTTTTCACAGCAAAAATCAACTACGCATCGCCGAACGCTAATTCTCCGCAGAAACGTATCTATAGACGAACGAGCAAGATGCGAAAGTTTCTGCCAGGAAGAATATTTTTTTCAAAAAGTTGTAAGTGATTTTCTGAAAATTTCAATGGGACGCTGGGGCATATTTTTGCCCGTTTTCGGTTTCAGGTGCCATAAAGCTCCCTGCATTCGAGAGCTCAGTCAGCCACCATTTTACCATTGCAATTTTAAAAAAAATACTTTTAACTTTTGGATAAGATTTCGGTCCGGGCTGAAAATCGTGGCATCTGGTTCGGACCTATAGCGCTACCTTTGGTCGGAGAATTAGAGATTGGCGATGCACAGTTCATTTTTGCGATAAACAAAATAACAAAAAAAAATCCTTTTTTTATGGGGAAGGGGGGGGGGGAGCTGTTTGTACCTCATTTGGAACAGTTCGTCTGGCAGTCTAACAGTGACATTCATACATTCACGCAAGTATTAGCTCGAGGCAGGTCCCAACGCCTGTCACCATAAGATAATATTTGCTTTGCGAGCGTTACTCTCAGTGTGATTCGTTTTTGCCGACTATAAGTGAAGATGGCGATCGATGTGGCAGAGGCTGGCCGGCGCAGCCGTCACCTCGGCTATTGAATGACGTTCCGAACGGTTGAGGGAAATAAGTAGTGAAGAAAACGAGAAAACGAAGAGGACAAAAATGCGAAAAAGGGGAATGGTGGGAACGGATTACGGACACTCATTTTCAGATTCCATATCTGCCGCTAAAGGGGCAGCTAACCGTAGTGGCGGCAGCTCGTAGGCCGGCAGAACGGAGTTCGCCTCCCCCCCTTCTCCCGCCCCCCCCCCCCCTTCTCCTGCACCTCTCCCCCAAACCTAACCTGTTCTTTCGCTATTATGGACGCTTGCCGGGTCATTTTTCCGGTGGATGTATTTTCCCAACTTAGTGAAATATCTTTCACGCGCAGCAGCGATAGTCATCCACGAAGAACGTTTTTTTTCACTGTGCCCGCAAAGATACAGTTTTCTTTTAACGAATTTATGTTTTTCCTCACTGTCGTTTGATACAAATATATGTGATGAGTGGACATTTGCTTTGCAGCTTGAGCGAGCAAGCAGAGTGGCAACATTGTAAATAAAAATTGCTATGAGAATCGCTCCACGGGAATCAACCTTTTCAAAGCGTATCTGGAGACAATCCGTTCGTCAATTTACGAAAAGTACATATGTGCTCCTCTTGAGATGACCTTACATTACGCAAGCTTGCTTATGCTCCAACACACTATTTGCATTGTTCTAGGACATTCGAACAACATCCACCATTTATGAAAAAAGAACCACAGCAGTTCGTGACTATCGTAATTCACTCTGATAAAAAGACTCTCCGATTCAAGAAACGAAACCTACATCTCGGTCACCCTGACCGAAAACAAAACTTTGTCTAACGTTGACTGCGCCGATTACCTCGATGTATTCCGTTATAGCCTTGTATATACTGACAAAGCCTGGCAGGCAGCTACGAGAAGCGGCCGCCGAAATGGAAAAGGTGGAGCGGCAGATAACGCATGAGGGGAGAGCAACGTGACTGTGTGTGAGCAACGTGACTTTCGGAGTCTCGCTGCAGCGCCTTGCTGCAGCGAGACACCGAAACAGTGTTCTCTCAAGCGAGCAAGTGTGTTTCGAATCTTCGCCGCTGCAAAAGCTGTGCGCTCACGCCCAGGTTCCCCGAGAAATGGGCCTTTGATGCTCTGTGCTACCAGATCCTCGCGCTCCAACTCTGCGACGGGGCACTCTATGACTCCGTCGTCGGACTGTCGGGCTTTGTGAGTATACAAGAGGCTCTCACTACGTGCATTACTTGAACAGCGGGAGAGGTGTCGCAGATACGTTTAGCGACTTGCGGGCGCCAATTGAATTGTACCGATTGAGTCCGATGTTGCCGTACACTCAATAGAGGAGACGCGTACAGCGAAAACCGTTGTAGCGGAGTTTTGGCGCATCACTGAGGCTGACCCGTTCATCTTCATCAAGACTGTGAGAATTTGAGCGCGTGTCTTGAGACGGTGTAACTAAGAATCCTAGTCTTGAGTTTAGAAAGAGCACCGTGTTGAAACGGATGTTAACCAGTTGTACTCTCACTAACATAAAAAGTGGGCTATTAACATATTATGAGTGCTTGACGTCGTCGTGACGTCACAATGATTCCTTTCAACCTGTTCTGAGGTTTCCATGAACGCCACTAGTTTCGTACCATCGCCGTGCGTTGCGCGCCGCCGCCACCGAGGAATTGTTTCGATTGCCATGTGAGTCGATATGTGTGTTCGCCCACTGAAATATGTGAGCCTGTAACATTTGCTCAAGAAAGACTTTTGGTCAGCTTTGACCGACTTTTCACAAGCTCAGCACCGCGGAGATGAGGAAATATGTCCAAAACGTCTTAAAATAACCCGAACAATATGTTCTCACTTGCTTTCACTTATTTTCAAGCAGACCGTGGAACAAATATGTACCTCACGGCAGACTGGACGTTTGGGAAAATGTTGCCAATTTTTAAAACTGGAGATAAAAATAAAGTATGTAATTATAGGCACATATCCTTAACAATCTTTCCCTGTAAAATTATAGGGAATATTATATACTCCCATGTTATTAGCAATTAGACCATCACCCCCTCTGCACTAAGGAATATGGCTTTAGGAAAGTATATTTGTTCGAAGTAACGCTGATGAGTTGAGCGTTTTGGTACATTAAAAAACAGCCTGAAGTTAGGGAAGAAATATAGAGATAAAAAAACAGAAGGTATAAGATTATACGGCTGACTACCATCGAGGTTAAGTGAAAAATTCTTCAACCTCATGTTCTAATGTCCTCCAGCAGAGACATTTAAAAAATTAAATAGTGCACAAATATATTTTTTTAGAATGTAAAAACACTTTGTTTACACTGCCCACTCTAGCTTAAGCTGCCCGTATGTTGAGTTAAGCACACCGGAGAATTTTTTTTTTTTTTTAATGGTATACACATCATCACCCTAGCTAGACACCGGAATCCCCAGTCCCGCAACTTTTCGGTAGGGTTTCCTCCTACAGTATGTTTCCGTATAACTAATCTGCACGGGCTGCATTAGCATAAATTTGGAGGCTTTTTTTTACAAGCCTGTTCGAATAAGTCAAACATCCTGAATATTTTTGTCCACACCCCACAGTCCTTGACAACTTACCTTACTGCAGACCTGTCAGATTTACTCACAAGTTATGACCTTTGTTTGGATGCTAATCTGGGGCGTACCAATATTTACTAAGTTAATTATTAAACTTGCGATATACTGCGCCGGACATGCAACTTCCGTACACAAGAACTCCGGGCATGAATGAATATTTCTATTTTGAAAGATTCGGTAAGCCGGATTTGACATTTCCAGTAAACATACATGGTATATGTTACATGAAATTCAGTGTGTTTATCTGCGTCAGCTCCACCTTTAGCTATTTTCACTCCCTCAAAAATAACGATACTGTTTATCAATTGTGTGTAGATGTGGTTTCGCGTCCAATTATAGAAGGAAACTACAAAAACAAAAATTTGCTAAGATGACGTATTTTTGCAGCTGTGGAAGTTCAATGCTCTAATATGCTAGATTATGTGGGCAGGGTCCAAATATTGATCATATTCACAAATCTTTATATACATCGGTGGAAGGGTTAAAATTATTCAAATAAACTTTGCGTGTGATTTGAGCAAAAAAAATGAAAAAAACTCATACCAACGACCACAGGAAAAAATCGAAACAAACAGATATTCCACAGCGATAAGAGATAAACCTATAATTACGTTACAATATATAAACATTTATATTTACCAATATTTAGTGTTCACGACTGGTAATACGCGCAGGATTACTGTTTGCAATTCGGCTTGTTAGCGTAGCATAACCGGTTTAAGGAAACAAAATAATCAAGAAAGCGCTCCCGTTTTGCGTTGTGTACTCTCACATGCCTGTGACAGCCGCCGATGTCAGTACAGTAA